GGGGGGGGGGCGGAGGGGAGGAATCGTAACCCTATAACCCCCTTAACCCCAGTCACTGGAATACTGACAGCATGCTGCGTCTTACCTGATAGATGACCATTTCTGTTTTGACTTTCTTTTGGAAGAGTAACGATAGYTTTTCGTCAAAAGCAGTCGTCGCTTCAGCGATACTTGACTGGAGTTTTTTCAGTTCTGTTTCGAGGGATTTCTTCCACTTTTCTCGATCTTCTAAATGTTGTTTTTCCATCTTTTCGAAGTCTTTCGCCGCCTTCTGTTCTTCCTCCGTCCACTCTTCTTGTGGCTTACCCGTAACAAAGTCAGGTGGTACCAGATCTTTCTTCAGTTCATCCTCCAGGTTGGCTTCAAGACGACCCTGCATCATCATCATCAGTGCACGTTCACGTGCATTATCTGCTTGTTCAGCTAACCTCCTCTCTGGATCATGACAAGGAAACAAGCAAAATGGAATTTATCTTAAACTTTGGATAGTGACTCGGGAAAAATATGGTGAATTTGTTGCCCTACTGTGGTCGTACCGTAAAAATGAATACGCGATGTGATGGAATGATTCACAAACACAATAGGAAGCCATTTCATCAATGTCATGGCAAGTTGTACCGTGTACGTGCTGTACGACAGTACCGTACATTTCTCACTCATGTTACTGAACCATTSTTATGGAAAACYATTTCAATGTTACGGCATGTCGTACCGTGAACAGTGCTGTAAGTCAATACCGCGCGTTTCTCACTCATACGGTAACCATTCTTATGGGGAGCCTTTTCTATGTTATGGTACATTTGAAACCAAAACCGCAAGATCAGATTTTTAATGAATGGAAAATAAAAGGGAAGCCATTTCAATCCTTATGGTACGTCGTACMATTTCCCAAGGATATTGCTCTGCTAACAATGAATCAATACCTTCTTCCACCTTAGCTTGTTCATCTAATCTTTTCTGTTCTTCAGCAGTGATATACCTCTCGAATGGAACTTCTTGGTCTTTGACATGSAGGAGTCTTTCAGGTAACTCATCGTCTGTCATTGCTGGCTGGAATATCTTATHAAAAAAACAACAACAAGTTACGATACCGTGCCGTGCCGTGCCGGAGCAATCTGATTGAATAAAAAGTAATCTCGCCAGATGTGATTGGTTCAATAGCTTCACTTCAAAATCTTTTCACAAAGAGCACGGGATAAGATGATTGGCTCTTAGTCTACTGGATTAGCAAATCTCAACATGTTTTGTCTGCTATCAGCAAGTAAAGGAAGAAGTCTTACCTTTTCAACAATATCAAGGTCGTGAAGGATCTTCTTGATGCGATCATTCTTTTCCTGGATTTTCTTTATTTCGTTTTCTTTGAACTTGAAAGTCTCTTCGAATTCTTTGTTAAAGTTGATTTTGATGCGATGAATGGCGTCCTAAATGATGTAAAACAATGGGACATATAGATAGGAGTTTTAAAAGTATATTCAAGTAGAGTAGATGCCAAATAAGCGTAAAAGACTTGAGGTACTGAGATGTCGTGCCGTGTGGGCCACAGTTTTTAACTCTAAGATCTGACAAGTGATATAATACTATATATGTACCTGTAACATGATAATTTGGTTGTACTTCTGTTGCGCAGTGTGTAACTGGAATTGACTCTGTAGTTGCTCACTACCACCACCATAAGATGCTCCTCTACTGCCTGAGGTAGCTGGGTTAGTGCCTGTACTGTGCCCTTCGTCTTCTATGAAGTTGTCTTCGTCTTCGTAATCTAGGCGGTCCTCTGAAGAAAGAAAGCAAACATGAATGAAGAATCTTACAGCGAAAATCACATGCTGCGTAAGTATATTGAGCATACACTGAAATATTTCAATAAACGTTGCTATCGCCAAAGGCTAAAGGCGATAGGTCATTCCGACATGGAAATGGTTTCGTTGAATACAAAGAACATTAAATCAGTCTCAACACTAAGGTCCACGTTCAAGACGAGAATAAGAAGCAGAAACAAAAGTCATTCCGGCTATTCTTGGATCTAGGAATGACCTATCTCCTATCGCTTTTCTCCTAGTGCCTATCGCTCTACGCCTAGTGCTTATCGTCCTTATAGCCTATTGAGATGACATCGTTTTTTGAAATAGGTGTCTACTCTACATTGATTATATCCACGAATGTAATACGGTCAATATCTACCTGGTACAGGTGTGTTTCTAGATGATGTAGGGCCTGGCTCAAGGTCCTTACTCGCTTCATATTCTGCCTTCTCAATCTTCCTCTGTGTCAAGACGTATTGAAGCTCGTCCAATTCTTCTTTTGATCTTTCTCGCATTGGGTAGTTAGTGACCGATAAAGACATACGGAAAGAATTACATGATCGACCTTTGACAGCCATCGCATCCCAACACTCTCGTTTGATCATCTCCTTCAGGTAGATACGGGCGAGGTTTGCGATCTCGATCTCATCACGCACCTGAAAACACCATTAAAGGAAATGTAATGGAATAGAGGCTTTGCACCATCACGTGACGGCAGCCATGTTACATGAGAAAGAATTCAATTTCCGAAAGTAAAGGGATTTTATTGTTCCGCCATCTAACCACAGGCAGTCCATAGGCAGTGATGGTGTTATGACCCAATTTCTGACGACGAACGATGAATTTAAAAATTATTTTATTCCTTACCGCTGTTCTTATTGCTACGCGCTTATCGAGACAACAAGTAAATGGGCAAAACACTCCCGTTAATCATATAAATCCTTCTCATGTACTACTTTCCAAAGTTTTCAAATACAATATCTGTCGAAGCTCTTGTCTCTATTAACGCGCAGCAATGAAAACAGTGGTTATTCAAGCGCACCCGTTAAGAGGCAAGCAACTCAGTCAAAGCAACAGGAATGAGAGAAGAGGAAGACAGCCATTAGAGGTTACGAGTAAGTTGATCAATGCTCCAAGTGAAAGTAATCAATTGACAAACCTCTTTTATCTTTTCTTCTCCTTCAGCGATCAGTTTCTGCCGTTCTTCTACATCCATATTAAACTCATGCCGCTCGAGTTTCTCGATGTCTGGTAACCGGCTGTTCACGTCAATCATTTGTAGTACTGTGTTGCGCAATTCGGAGATATCTTTGCGCAGCTTTCGCTTGATGTCTGCGAACTTCTTGTCTTCTTCTCGCTGGGCCTTCAGAGAGAGAAAAAAAAAGGCACATGTTGTTAATGGCGCTACAAAGGATAGGGGTCAGGACCACTGGGGGGTTACGGTATCGATGATGATCGCACCCAAGCTACACCATCATGCATCACGGTTCCTTTCCCAGCAAATGTAAACTGCTTGCATTAGGCTTTGACATATCAACTTTTAGATAATCGGAAATGAGAACAGTTTGGCCACCTTTGAGGTACAGTGAACAAAGGATAATTACACCCAAACGATACCATCATGCACCACGCTTCTTAGAAGCTTACCTCCGCAACAGCTTTCTGCAGCCACGTGGAGTCTTCACTCAAAGTTGGCGTAGGTGTAGTGAATATCCCATCCTTTTCCAGCTTTTTTTGGACTTTTTCAGATCCTTCAGTGTTTTCTTTCTCTATGACGGAAGCAGACTTGTGGATGTAGTTGGGTCTTTCTGCGGCTGCTGCATCTTCATCTTGTCTTTGGGTTTTCAGAAGAGCTGTTCTTGCTCGTGATACCTGGATCGCTGTCGTAGACTTACTTCTCCCTAAACATAAATCAAACCATTTAATTCCATATTGTCTCGTATTTCATAACAAGAAGTGCGCTATTTGGCGAGCTATCTTTATAGTTGTGCATGTGATGGGTTTGCAGTTTGTTGTAGTTTTATCTACTCTACTAATTTATAAGATTGTCAAATAATCTACTCACCTGTGGCACTAAAGCTCCATTCCCAGCATGATAAAACCCCGTCCCTTCCGGTACTAAGTAGTTTTTGTGAATCTCCTGTGAAACACAAGTGACTGACTCCACCCTTACGGTAATGATGTCCAGGAATCTTTAGCATTCGATCCTGGAAGTAAGAAAATTTGGTGTCACTTCCTTGAAGATGGGTAGGCTAGGGTAGGCAATCAGAAAGGGTACCAGGTTATGTTAAACGGTGACCGCTGCTTTCCACCCTCCCTGCCCACACCATCCATCCATTCATATATTCTCATCCCATCCATCCATTCATCCATCTATTCATTCATCCATCCA